AAGAGAGATTTTTCATTATGATCATCACACGAGGTGGTACACCACGTGTCATTATATAAATTGTCGGATATGTATGTTAAAAAGTTAATAACTTAAAAAGTAAAATATTTCACCATTTATATAAAAACATGTGGTGTACCACCCATATTCCCGTTACAATTAAAAATTTCTCCTTCCAGACTTCCAGTTCCACGTTTTAACCAAGCTTCCATCATCTAGCTTCTACATTAATCCCCATGTATTATTCGCCTAATCCTTAATTTGGTGAGTCTGATTAATTTAAACAATACGAATAATTTAGTAAATTCTCAGGAAAATATTTACATCTCTTGCTATAACATTGAAAAAAAAAATCAATGAAGAAACATCATGCCTCATATTTAATTGCAACGGAAGCCATCGGGTGAGTTACTTCGTTATATTAACGACAAAGTATAAGAAGTCAACTGACTCCAATTGTCTAGTCATCTGGAAGACATCATAAATCTCAACATTATAAGAATCGAACTCATAATTAGGCCCGTGTGTTATACTTCATTTTATCCAAACTCAATTTTACCGCTTTAGTAAGTCATTGAGATTAGTGGTGATGGTTGTTAAGAAGATAGACCAGAGAAGAAAAGTTAAGAGTTCGAAACCCTCCATTTATCCAAACTCGAATTTACAGTTTTAGTAAGTCACTAAGGTTAACCTAGTAGTGAGTGTCACTGTTTGGACCCAAAATTACACAATCGGCCCGAACGATCGAGGCTATTGAGTGAATGAAGTTCTAAGCTATTAGGTGTCTGAGTCAATATAATTTTAGTTATTGTTAAGGAATAATGTTGTGATTTTTATCATAATAATTATCTCTTAATAATATATTGAATTATCTAGAGCACAGTTGGGTGATAAAGTCATGGTGATCTGATACGATACCGTGTGAATTAATACTAGTGCAATCTCGTGGATAGATGGCATGATTATCATGAATGAAGTTAGGAGTATGGCAGACTATCTTCCATGCATTTATACAAATACAATGGAGATAAAGATGAGATCGTATTATCATTGGAATTTGATCAAAGTTAGCTGGCTTAGATAAAGATGATCTGATAACCATTGCTGATTGGTCAACAAGGTGGAGGAAATTGGGTTACTCATCCAGCACGGGGTAACTTGCCTAGATAATTAGCCAATAAAGGTGCTGTTTATTTTATGAACCCATGCACATGGAAATATGGGATAAAAGATGGCATATGCCATTTTATCCCGTTGTGATTTCACCTGATGGCGCGGTAATTGAGATTGGGATAAAAGATGGTTGTGATTTAATCAAAGATGGTTGGATGTTCACGGCTTGGATTCTACAACAAGTCTAAGAGTTTAAGTTGCAATTGAATTCTACAAATACCATCAGGTTGTGAGCAGAGACTTCACTATAAATACAAGAGGTCATGCAACATGGAAGGGACCTTGAATTCAACATACAATTGCCCTGCGCAAAACCTCTCAAATACCTTGAGATTTTTCCTTTTCTTTTTCCGCCAACATACCTTCAGTTTCGATAAACAGCATTGTGGAGGCAACCGGTGAACACCTTCAGTTTGGATAAACAACATTGTTGCCGTAGAATTAACCGACCAAGGAGCATCTTCAGTTTGGATAAACAGCACTGCATCGAGGCTGACTGGTTATCTATCCAAGTCTCAGCCGAGAAGGGTTTTCGAATCCTTATTGGCAGGGGTCATCTTATCAGCCGTCTCGACGAAGTAAGGTGTTACGAGTTACGATGTTCATCATATTAGACGCCGAGTGATTTTATGATTAGATATTTACAAGTGAGTTTTAAAGTTCGACATTCTGACGGCCGAACCATGTTCACCATCAAGACATACATCACCTTTGAATATTTGTGTTCGTATAGTCTGATGTCGATTCGACGTGCTTATACTCTTACGAATATAATCACGGTGACCGAATCAGGCACCGACGACTTGTGAACTTCGCAGAACTAACAGCCTTGTCTTCAGGCTCTAGAACCCAAAGACCAAGGGTGTTCCTTCCTCGGTCGCAATCGCAAGATAAAGAAGTCAGCAACGCGCTTAACGCAACATCAACAAATTTTACTCCTCGGTCGAGCTCGGACAACGAGTTGGCATGCTCGGCATTCAACCGAATGACTTAGTTAGCCTACTAGTTACTCGGCTTGCGCGCCGCGTAGGCTTTGTAATTTTTAGGGACAACAGTCACATTCCGCCCCGGGCCTCCATTATATCCCGGACTCGACTCCATCGTAGCACGATATTGTTCTCTTTAGGCCCCGACCATGCCCTCACGGTTTTGTTTCTGGGAACTCACACGAGAACTTCCCAGTGAATCCGTACATACAGATCTTTCCAAATTGGAATTGTTAGTTTATAAAATAAAAAGTTAATCGCCACTTGAAATTGAAATTGGCGGAAATCCAACGTTGGATTGTAATGAAATTTTAATATATTGTTCTAGAAGCATAATGTGGATCCTTGGAAATTTCGGATCGGAAATATGGGATGCGGATCTTCCGGAACAAATTGTAGGGGTGTGTTCTATATAAATTATGTATTCTATTGATAAGGATTCTGAGTCATGGTTTGATAATTGTTCTAGGTGCCAATTGTTCGTGATCGCCTCAACATTCGTGCTAGGGATTTACAAATTTTAGCGAGGACTCCAGGTGAGTGGGTTTTTGGTTTTCTATACAAGTATATATACTTTATGTTTTAGAATATGCATCTAGTGATTGCTTATGTTATTGTTGATACTGTGAACTACAAATGACTTGATTCCTGTTTAGGGTATGTAGGTAGTCTAACGAAACGTTAAATGCAACCATACAATAAATAAGAGTAAATAATTGAGACAATAGCATTGTTTGCGGAATTGAGCAATGTGAAGGAGATTGATGGAAAATGTGAGATTTAACCTTATTTATTGGTGGTTAAATGTTGGTTATAAATTAATGTGTGAAGAATCGTAATATTGAAGTGAAAAATAGTTAGGAATGACAGTTAATTTAATTAGTGCTTAGTTGGGCTTATCACCGACAATTATTTCCGAAGGTAAATAGTTTGGGAGTAGGGTGTTACAGCTTACGCATATTATGCCATTTGTATACATGTGTTATATATTTGGAAATATTATGATATGGTTGAATTTCATATTTACATTCTGGTATATCCATATGTATGTTACTTGCACATAATTAAATGTGAACGCTCTGATACCAAACTGACACATCCCGATCCGGAATATCCATTAGGATTCCAAATCGAGTTGTGCTGGGCGACACCCAGAAGGTGACGAAGCCAAAAAGTGTGATGATGATAAAAAAAAATATGAATTAATTTGAAACTAAGAGTGTCTAAATACCAGAATGCGCTATGAGCGGGAATGAACCTATTACACACGCGATACAGAGTATAAGTAAAGTATAGTAAGGTAAGGTAATGATTATACCATCATAAGAAGACACCTGAACTGAAAAGTGCCAAGAATCCTCGTCGATACGGACACTCTACTGTTAAAACTTGGAGAGGTGCAAAAATAGAAAATGTGAGTGAGTGAAACAAAACTTTTCAAACCAAATTTCAATTACCAAGGAATTAACCCCTCACCTTAAAACCTGTATAGTTTTCACCAAATCATCACACTTTATGGTTTCGTCACCTCCCAGATGTCAGCCAACACAGCTTAATTTAGAGTCCTAATGAACATTTCGGGTTGGGGTGTGTCAGTGAGGGTGGGTAAGAAGATAAATGAGATAAGGAAAGTAAGAGTTCGAACCCTCCATGTATCCAAACTCAAATTTATAGTTTTAGCAAGTCATTGAGATTAACCTAGTGGTGAGGGTGGGTAAGAAAGATGAGAGAAGGAAAGTTAGAATTCGAAACCCTCCATTATATCCCAAAGAAAATTCCAATATTTTTTTCTTGTGATAAACTAATGTATGATTCATATATTTTAAGCAAAGATAGGATTTGTTCAATGATGTGACACTGAATTTTCCAGCTACTTTCATTAATAAAAACGTTTTCCAGATAAATTAAAGAAAAAATATTTATTAACAAGTAATCTCTAAAGATCTGCTGGGGCATTTTAAATCTTAAACTTTTAATACGTGTGGTTGCATGCCATGCACGTCTTGCTTGATTTGAAGTAGATGTCCAAGCCTCAAAGGACAAAAGGAAAAATAAGACAAACATATCTGTTTGTAACTAAAAACCCAACTGTGAAATAGTAAGTACTAGTTTTGAGTTGACGAATTAAGTTTCGAATATCTTACCAAATAAGTAATTAAATTAAGGGACTTAATTACATTTCACACCTTTCATGTTTGACACGTTCACATTTTACATATAATGAAAACTTTAAAAGATATAGTATTACTCATTTTCTTTAATGTTGACATACATGACGTCAATTTAAGGTATTTTTAGAAATAACATATATTTAAATCATATTTGTAAACCATAAAACGTGGTTGTTGATAATTAAATTATTAGTTAAGTGTTGGTTAACATGCTTATTTCCCATTAGTCACACATCAAATTATTTACAAATTTACTCTACTGAGCATTACTCGTCATTTTATCATACAAATATCATAATTATGTATAGAAGAATTAAATCAATTTAAAAACTGTTTAGTCACTCATATAAATGAACTAAATTAAATTAAAATAAATTACAATTATTGCATTTTCTTGGGTTTTGTTTCGTTTCTGTATATTTAACTACAAGTGATGGTGAAAAATGGAAGAATTGAATCTTAACCACCTAGAAGCCTTTTTTTGGTTTTTCGTTTAGCAAATAGATATAAAAATTTGATAAAATAAATAGAAAAAAAAAGTGGGCCGTGGGTTGAGATCCACAGATCCGTTTCGGCCTCGGCACAGCCTACACTCAGACAGGATTTGGTACGAACTACGAACCCTAACTCGAGTTCAATGCTCTATGAGATGAAGGAGATGTCATGTCAGTCAGTTGTGCTGTATTATGTTGACCGTTGACTTGTTGCCATTATTTAGATGAGGTGTACTATCTTTGCACCTCACTTTACCTCTGAGATAATTTATCACTTCATCCTTCCGTCTTCACTCCATTATTCAGACCCTGTCTGTCTACAAATTTCACCTCCAACAACCGTTCACCCAGCCACGGCGGCGGCGGCGAGAGAGAAGAAAAGCAGGCAGTTGCAGACGATGGGGTCATTGGGATGGGAAGAGACGGTGAGAAAGGCGGAGAAGCTGGTGGAGGAGGCCATGAAGGAGAACGACGCGTCCCACGACGCTGCTCACGTGTGGCGGGTCCGAGACCTCGCTCTCTCTCTCGCCCGCGAAGAAGGCCTCTCTTCCAATTCCGACTCCATGCAAATTGTAACGCCTACTCTCGCTACCAGTAACTTTTAAAGGGAAAATAACAATTGCATTAATTTATCCAAAGCTTGATTTTGGTACTGAATTGCCAACATTCGTAGATTGAACAGTTGATGTCTGGAATTGAAGGACTGCTGATGATTATTTTGTTATGTATTTGAGTTCTTCACAAAAGAAGATTTCTTTAGGGGTGGTGCTATCCACACACCACTTTCTATCCCCCGGAACTCTCTCAATCCGGCGGTCGGATGGAATGAATTGAATATCAAATAATAGAAATTAACAAGTGGTGTGGGAGGTAAAAAGTGTATAGCACCGCCCTTTCTAAACATACCAAGCTGATCACATTACTAACGCTCTCTGATACAAGTCGGTTCCGCATACAATGACAGTGCCAGCATTGTTAATGTAATCAGTTTTGCCCGTTTAAATAACATTATTGTTAATCTGTACTCTACTTTTCTTGGTCGACAGATAGAAGTGGCTGCACTTCTCCATGATATAGGTCAGTTATTGTTGACAACCAAACTTTATAACATATCTTTGTGTGCTTGCTTATAAATGGATGTGCGAAACACTGCACCCATTCCTATTAAATGTCTTCTTTTACCTATCTTCTTGTTGGCTACTTGTAACATGCAGTAGTACTTCTATGTGGCTTTCATTCTATGTTTCTTCCTGCATCTTTTCAGCTTTGCTTTTATTTTCTTACTCTGATCTGGTATAGCCTACTGATCATTCGTGTTGTTGATTGCTCGCTGCAGGTGATTACAAGTACTTGAGGTTTGTACGTTTCTCATTCTTTGTTTCCTTTAACTTATTTTTTCCTTTTCTGTTGTTTTGTCTGGCTCTTCCATTGATTCATCGTTTCCCTCAGTGTTATTTTTGGAATGTAGAGATCCCTCAGAGGAAAAAATTGTTGAGAACTTTCTCAATGAGGAGGGCATAGAGGAGACTAAGAAAATGAAGATTATAACGATCATCAAGGGAATGGGTGAGCCGGTTACTGCTCCTTTCTGTCATGTTATTTCTCCCCTGTTCTGCTTACGTGATGTAAAAATCATTTGAGTTTAATCCTGTAATCTAATTCAGAATTTCATATTGCCAAAATGTATATGCCATGTCTCTTTTCTACATAGGAAAATATTGTATGTTTCAACACATGCCCCAATATATGCATCCGTATTTTCTCCATTTACGGTTTATATCACTTTAGAACCATATAATTTTGTCAGTTTCATTGTGTTCTTAATATTTATGCAATTCTGATTTTTGTTCAATCTCCTTTGTGGATGTTATTGTGGTTGTTAACCCTTTGTAGCTGTTGTGGTATAACAGAATGTTTAATTCCAAGCACCTTATTGTGCCTATGAGCTCTGATATACAAGTACTTCTACTTTCCAGGTTTCAAAGATGAGCTTGCAGGAACAAATAACGATTTTCCTCCAGAATTTGGCGTTGTTCAAGATGCTGATCGTCTTGATGCAATTGGTGCTATTGGTAATCTCTGTGCTTGATAATGCTAAACATTAGATTTTGTCTACCTACTTACTCTATATAAGTTTAAAATTGGGATGACTGCTTCAAGAGCAACTGTGGGTGTAACTGTTTTTGCACAATATTAAGTAGTCTTTTGGTCACAGGAATTGCTCGTTGCTTTACTTTTGGTGGAAGTAGGAACAGAGTGCTACATGATCCTAAGATTCTGCCACGATGTGACTTATCTAAGGAAAATTACATGAAAAAGGATGAGCAGACTACTGTGAATCACTTTCACGAGAAGCTTCTTAAGCTAAAGGCTTTGATGAAAACAAAGGTAAATTTGTTGAAACATGGACATGGTATTACACGTTCCTCACTTGGAATCTTCCTCATTTACATGCATTACATATGTGTCTATATTATCATCCATTCAGTTTGTGATATGAGGTTTGACCATTGATGTCAGGCTGGGCAGAAGAGAGCTGAGAGAAGGCACAAGTTCATGGAGGAGTTTCTTGTAGAGTTCTATGAAGAGTGGGATGGGAGAGCTTGAACGAGGTAATTTTTATTATTTTTATTTATTTATCTCAGAACAGTCAGATGTAAATTAGATAGCACTCCTAGGCCTTGTTTGTTAGAGAGGATCAGCTTGGATAGGACTATTCACTATATGAAAGACATTTTGAAGGGAGAAATGGATGACAACTTCCCTATTTTGTCGAAGTTTGAAGATTACTCATCAAGAAAAGTTGTTCCTTTTAATCATATCATTTTTTTTGGGATTAGTAGGGATGTCTTTTCTTCGTAAGTAATCTTCAAGTTGGACAAAATATGGAAGTTTTCATCCATTTCTTCCTTCAAAATGCATTCAATATAGTGAATAGTCATATCCAAGTCAGTCCTTCCTATCAAACGTGGCCCTAGTGTTCTAAACAAATAAAAGAGAATCTAGAACGTAATCATTCTAACAGTGCTGAATTTTGTGATTATGTTAGAACTTATCAACTTCGCTCCTGGAGCGGAACGTGCTTGAAGATGCGGGCTATAATATTCAAACCAACTGTATGACAAAATATATTTTATAGCATGGGTCTTTTCTCATAGGACTGTACTATGTTGGTGGATACCAAGGAAGTCAATTACCGCTTTGATGAGTATCGTACGAATAGGTACTAGGTTGGTTAGAATTAGAACCCTCTTTCCTGCATTGAAGCATAAGTAATCAATTTAATGAGAATATGAGATCTGTGGATGGAATTTAAATTCAATGTGCCTAAATGAAAACTGGCTACATCATGCGACAAAACTAAACTTGGTAGGTAAAGTTGGTGAGGTGTAGTAATTTTCTTCATCGTGTAAAAATTATGCCCGTTAACTTTAAGGTTGAGTGCCTCGTACTGCCGAGGTAGGTTTCAGTGACAAGAATGTCGAGGTCCTGAGTTGCTCGCCAAACTTTGCCTTTTTCTTTTGTATTTGGCGCTCTAGGCTTTCGTAATTGAAATGCCTTGAGAGTTGACAAGAATGAAGAAAGGCAGAAGGGGCTTGCTCAACACGTTTAAGTGTCAAATGTCGAAAGTTTTACTTGCACCGGATGGATTGAGAGTTGAATAAATACCAAAGAGGAAGAGCCCACGCAATCTGTCTCACTATGATGTGTGAGAAAGACACATGGTAATAAATCACCAACCAGTTGCGCCTAAGATTTTACTATAGAATTACAAGTTTGTCTGCAGGCATCGGAGTGGCTACCATTTTTGTGACTCAAGTAGTTAGTTATATTTGCAAATTGGTGTTTAGGTTTTGCTTTCGTTAGGATTAATCACAAATTAGTGAAAGGGAAAGATGAACTTATTTGTAACAGAGAGAGAATTCATGTATTATTCAAATACATATACGAGGAAGAATCCAATATTACACAAGTCGATATCACTCTACAGATTTTGAATCATCTTCCCATGTATGTGGGATATGGCAATGCCACTATTTATATATGAACGATATCATTATTACATACGACAACATAAACGCCAAACACACTATAATCTATATTATATTAATCCCCATTAATATCATATATCATATATTTAGTAATTTGTGGCGCTCAGCATGGTCACGCTTTTGGAAAGTGACCTTCAACCCATGCTTCATGTACATGGTCAGTGCCAGCTTTGGCTCCACCGGATGATTTTCGACCACCTTCACACGGTACCGGTAAATGATGGAGGCAGCGACGAACTTCATTTGGTAATAAGCGAAGTCTTTGCCCAAGCAGAGGCGAGGACCGCCATTGAAAGCCGTAAATTTGTATGCAGACTCGCTCATGAAGCGGCCGTCCGATGACCGTAGCCATCTCTCGGGCTTGTACTCCCTGCAGTCCTTCCCCCAAATCGCCTCCATTCTCCCCATGCTGTACATTGCGTATATCACTTTTGTTCCCTTCTTCAATATTGTTCCATCTGGAAATACGTCATCTTCAACTACCTACACATATAGTTGACCCAATATTGTTTGCAAGGGATAATATAGACAGTCACAGATTTAGCCGGTTAGGTAAACAAGAATCTCATTAAATTAAGACTATATCCTTCTAGGGTGTCATCGTTGTTGACCGAAAAACAAAAACCAGTTATTCACTTAATTATAATTCACCTCAGGAAAAAAATAGATAATTAGTAATATATATATGTGTGTGTGTGTGTGTATTTATCTCACAATTATATCATGACTATTGACAAGCTATATGATTAGTTGAAGAATGTGTGAGGCATGACAAGTCCCATAACATGCCATGCATGCACTTAAAATGGTTACTTGTTTGAGTAAACTAATGTTTAAAACGAAAAAGAAAATTAAGGTGCAAGTTGTGTAATTAACTGAACTGAACTTACCTCCTTGTGATCTAATGGAACTGAAGGGTACAACCTTAGAGCCTCTGATAGAGCTGCATGAAGATACTCCATCTTCTTTATCTCTTCTGGCTTGAATACTACTGCTTCATCATTGTCACTTTTAATTTCATGATCACGATCACGATCAGATGATGTTCTTGCGCCCACAATCCGGCATATTTCTTGAAGAATCTTGTGCTCCACCTCCGGATTGTGATGAAGCAGCCAGAAGAACCAGCTCAGTGCCACCGATGACGTGTCTCTCCCTGCAAGTATGAAGTTGACGCATATATCCTCAAGAATTTGTCCGAAAACGCCTCCCCCCTCTCGTCTTTCAAACCCATAAAAACCGTTAACAAGTCTGATCTAATCTGCTTATTCTTCTTATCCTTATCATTAGAAGCATTAGAATTATTGGTGGCAGAAATTAGTAGCGGGAGCTCTTTCTTCCTTGTCCGAATGACGTCTTCCGCAAACTCGTCCACTCCTCTTATGGACCTCTTTAGCTTCCTCTCAGCGCCCAAGTTTAAGTACCTCATGGTCTTCCACAAGCACGATGGGGTCACGAAGCGCATAAGTGTTGCTTCCGTTGCATCCTCAAAGGCCTGAGCGAATGGTATTTTGGGTAACCCCAGCTGCAAGCAACCAGGGTCGACCCCAAACGCGATCATGCAAACATTGTCAAAAGTCAACCTCAAAAGAATGTCTTGGAGGTCGATTGCGGTCGAGTGTTTGATGGAGTCCTCTAAAACGGGCAAAAGCCTACCATGGACAAGTTCAAACAACGAATCTGCGGTCAGTTGCCGGAACTTAGCTGAGTGGAACTCGATGCTAGCCGTCTTCCTTTGTTGCCTGCCACGTCTCGTCGTCCGCGTTGAATATTCCATCCCCGAGAAGATCTCGAACGGTGTCTCTGAAATAAGGGCCTTTGGGAAAATTGGAGAACTTGGTCTTGAGAAGGTGCTCCAAGTTACGAGGGTCTGAAGTGATGACGCTAAAGAGGCTGCTAAACCAAGGGCCTTGGAATAGAAACGTGCCGTTTTGGTGGCAAAGAACTTGGGAAAGCCACTCATATATGTTGTTGGTTTGGAGTCCAAGTACGGCAAAAGAGAGAGAGGGTAGCATGCCAAGCACCGGCCAAACGGGTAGGCCATGGCGCCTTCTTCTGCCTCAACGAGTGTATGGTTATGAAAATACACAGAGCCAGAAAGAGCTCCAAGATTTGGATGTGGTGAAGGAAAAAGAGTTGCGCCGAAACCAAGTTTCCGGCCACGAAAGTCTCGGAGAAGGAGGGGGAGGTGAGATTATTGATGGGAGGAGGAGGAGGAGTGGTGATCATGTTGTTGGAATGAGAGGAGAGCCTATATGTGATGGGAGTGTGATTTATTAATATTGGCAGACTCACACTATGATGAAATTGAAATGAATGGGTTGGTTTAATTAGGTTGAGGAATGGCACGGTGGAGGTCATGTGTTATATGGGGGGCGGTCATGAGTCATCATCTGTGTGTTTCTTGGCGTGCATGTTTTCTACTTCTGTCTTTTACCCTAGAGCTTTCGATTTGGTGAGCTGAAATGTATTCTGGGCAACAGACGTGGCTGCCCACCCATTTATATAAGCTTATTCGAGTTCATACTTGTATATTCTTGCGGGCCCTACCATGGAAAGCATTTTGACGATTCAAACCGTGTAGTATTTAGGACTTTTTTCAATTAAATAGTGTGTTCTTCTTAGCATTTTCTACAATTAAATAATTGCCATTTTAGTAGTTTCTTGAAATATTGATTTCTTTTGTTTTCTGATTTGCTTAATTTTTTTATTAAAAACTGAATGAAGAATTATAAAATTAGACGATTTAGACATTAAAATAAAATTTACAGTACTCTCATATTGTATTCCTCAAATAAAGTTAATTAAAAAGTCGAGAGATTATATATAAAATTTCTTTTCGTATGTGTGTGCAACTAACTAACGATTCACTTTAGAAATATGCAAAATTTCCTTTCCACATATTTTTTTTTTTGTCGGAACCTTTTCCATATATGGAGTGATCACTATTCCTGAGCTATCTAGCCACTACCTAGGGTGAATATATGAAAATATTACTATTCACTTTGGAGAATATGGTCCGTGTGTAAAGCGGACGAATGGGAATGTCGGTCTGTGTGTGTGTTGGTTTGAGTAGAATATGGTGTATATATATCTCTTGAAGTTTAAAGCAAAATGTTGATGCTTTCCCAAGTACCGTCAAACGAAGAGTGGGCACGGTTTGTTCCAATGCGGTTTTAAGTGAAACCGAAACTAAAATAAAAAGCTTTTGTAATTTCAAACGGTTTCTATTCAGTTTCAAATCATTTACATATAAAATGAAGAAAATTCTATCTCTCAACAACATTAGTATATTACACAGGATGTGGTCTTGGTATTTCCAACTCCCCCATTTCCTGGATCTTTCCTTCTTTTCGGCCTTTTTCCCACTTGGGCTGTTGGGCGGCTTCCATTTTCTTTAGAAATTAAGAGCCATTCTTTTCTTAAAAATTAAGAAAGTCGATACCTTTGAGAGTAAAAGTCGATACCTTCCATCAGAGGGTTTTGAATTTTACACATCACGGTCACTAAAATTCAACTTATCACCAATCACAAGATTACAATTCAAATTTGAAATAAATTTCAACATCAAAATGCTTTATAATTTGCAGTAAAATGGTCGTACTACTGCTGAACTAGATCAAATCTCTTTTTTATTATAACCCAAAAGATAAAAAAGCCCAGTGCCCTTTTGATTCAAATGAATCCTAACCCTAAGATTAATCACAAATGATTAACTAAATTAACTAATATAAGTTTTAAGTTCTTACCATATTAGCTGGAACGAAGTGGAGGGAGATAATTGTTGAGAATGGGTCTGACATTAATGGGAGGAGGGACATTACATGAGCTTATAAGATGTTAAATTACTTCCCATATTGCTACTTGGTTTTATAATGAAACCTTAACTCTATTCGGGAATCACAGTTTAAAGGCACTGAAGGGAAAGGATTGGATTCGCGGTATGAAGGGGATATGGGGATGAGAGTTGAGGGCTTGGGGCCGACTGATTTGCAGAGCTTTTGTGTGAAGTGGAAAGATTTGCAGACCCGTTGAGACTTGAAACCCACCGATTCGCAGTGTGTGAGAAAGAGACTGATGAGACTGAGAGCACTGACTCTGAGCAGGCAAAGATTGAGAAAGTGGTCAAATTATGGTGTGGTTGAGTTTTTAGTATGAACTCTAAGAATCAATCAATTAGGACACAACATCAATGGGTATTTAATTAAATATTTTTTTAATACTTTCAGAGCGGTTTAGTTTTGGTTCGATTTCAAAGGTGTTCCTTAGTTTTTCTTATAGTTAAATGATTGTAATTTTGGTAGTTTTTTGAAATATTGTGTTCTTTATTTTTCTGATTTGTTTAATTTTTTTATGAAAAAAACTAAATGAAGAATTATAAAATTAGACGGTTCAGACATTAAAATAAAATTTATAGCTACTCTCACAACATATTCCTCAAATAAAGTTATATAAAGAGTAAAGATTATTCATAAACTTTCTTTTCGTGTGCATGTGCAACTAACTAACAATTCACATTAGGAAATATGCAAAATTTCCTTTTCCATATATGGAGTGGTCACTATTCTTGAGCTATCTAGCTACCTAGCGTGAATCCATGAATATATCACTGTTCACTTTGGAGAATACGGTCTGTCCGTATAAAGCAAACGAATGGGAATGTCGGTCTCTGTGCGTGTTGGTTTGAGCAGAATATGGTGTATACATGTATGTCTTGAAGCTTAAAAAAATGTGTGAAAAATAAAATATGATGTATAGATATCACACTTTTATTTTTATATTATGTAATTTTTAATTATTTAGTTTCATGACCTTACTTTAGGAATTAGGATCGCATTGAATGCGTGGGCCAAAAAACTATGGTGACCAACATGCGTATATAATTGCATACGTAACAACATCACATATATACGTGGCAAAATATTTCGAAGATTTGTGTATACAGTTTGATGATGAGTTACTTAACTAATAACTTAACCCAAATTAACACGTGTTTTCAAATGCACATACGACTTTAGCTAAGTTAGTTGAAGCAATTAATATGCTTCAAGCTTTGCAATCAAGTTTGAATCTCATTTTTCATAATTTAAGTTAATTTAATGTAATTATCTTAATATTTGTCAAAACAAAAATAAACATATTCAAATGAAACTAATTTTTCTAGTTATAAGAAAAACTGGACGTGAAAACCTAATGAATTAATGGTGAATGGTAACAGACACGTACAGAACTGGGCTTTAAGCCTTAGGGTTTCGTAACCGGTGGACACGTTAATGTTGGGCTAAAAAGGCAAATACATAGAGTGATTCTATGTACGGGGACTAAATTTATATATACTAAAACCCAAACCGGGTGGTTACTGTTCTATAACAGTGTTTTGACGTAATTGCCCTTCATTGCTGCTGAGTCTAAGGCTTTTTTCCCTGTTTAGAACAGTGAATTTACAGCTTTGCCCTCATTTGGTCCTATCTGCTGCTTATGCTTGGCTTCGACTTTGTTTCGTTTTGTTTTTAATGGGTTGTGTTTGTTTTTGCTACAGTTGCAGCACAGTTTTGTCAAGCCCACGTGTTGGTCATCGCGTGGTACTTTGATGTTTTTATTAGCTTTTTGTATAGTAAAATTACACCAATGCTTTTTGTTGGTTGTCTTTGACGGGATTGGACTGCATTTCACTTTTTTTTTGTGTGGTTGTGTTTGTTTTTGGTACAGCTGCAACACAGTTTTGTCAGGCCCACGTGTTGGTCATCGCATGGTATTTTCTTTGGGTTTTGTTTTGTTCCGTTTTGTTTCCTCTCATTTTCAACTTTGCTTCACTATCGCTCTCACCCGTTTTGTTTCCTCAAATTTTCGTGCTGTTGCTTTCAGTCGGTGTTTTGTGCGATTCTGCTGCCTGTGGTTGCTCGGAAAATACGAAATCAATGTAAGGTTTTTATTTACACCCTGCGAAAGATAGTGTGCTCGCTTATTGTTAATTATTTTTATTTCATTTTGAATTTGTTAGTTTATCTTTTGTGCATCTGAGTATATGATTCGATGTTTTAGACTGGATTTTTGTGGTTTTGAGTTTGTGGGTTTTTTTTGGTGCGTGAGAAGATGTTATCCAATGGTTTGATTCAACATTTTTCTTCGATCTGTTGCAACTTTGCTGTCCCTGTGCCCCTTTGTCAAACTTTGTTTTCTGTTTTTTTTTTATTTTTTCTGTGTTGCTTTTGTAAAATTGAAGTGGGAGTTTGACGGATGTTGATGAATCCCGCAGTTTATCGGCAAAGAAAACAACACCTTTTGTAATGTTTGTAGTAATTTACCCATATATTCATAAAGTGGTGTTATTTTTATGGAGGATGGTTGTTAATCTTTTTGTATTGTTAATTTCGCAGCGTGTGGGTTGCTCGGAGACCACTGGGTTATGCTTTTGTTCACTTGGATCACGGTAGACATGCAGAGGATGCAATTGGTGAATTAGATGGTATGTTTAGTATTTGGCTATTGATTTTTAATATGGGGTTTTCTTAGTTTATATCATTCGAATCCAACATAAGGGAGAAACATAAGTTCATCTGTAGCATTGTTTGTGAAGCAGCATAATTAGATGGTAGCTATTTTCAGATGCATATTTCAAAATCTTCCTTATGCAACCTGTGATTTTTCACAAATTATACATGTTCAACTAGGTCTAGGTTTCTTCTTTATATAATGTGGTTGTCACCTTCGTTGGAATTTCTTCACTTTTTGACATGTGAGATATCTCAATCAAAATAATGCTCATCATATAACGTATAATTTAATAGAACAATATTGATACCATTGCTTGAGTTGTGAGCATTCTGTTTTCCTCTTCTAGAATTGTGACTTGCGGTTTTGCTTTTATGATTCACTGTTTTATTTTTTATGTCAATCCTTTACTTATGCATTGATGGGTAACTCTTTGGTTCTGTTTTTTGTTAAGCTTTTTAATTAGCCCAGGCTAGCTCTCCATTCCTAATGGATGGGTTTGGTTTCTGGATTAAAAATGTAGTTTCTAACCATGACATCTAAGAAAATTAGTCTTTTTTTCTCCTTTTCAGCTTATTAAACATGATTTGCTAAGTGTTTATGTTTTTAATTTTTCTATTTGTAGTGTGAGAAAATTCTTATTATCTCCTTGACTCTAGAGTTTACTGCCTGCACAATTTGAAGTTTTGTTCCGCTTTTGGTAAGTGATGTTTGTTCTTTGTAATATGTGGTTTCTTTTTGAGTCTTCTCCTTTGAATCATTGCTTTGCTGCTTTTATCAAACGTTCCCTATTTGATAATAATGTTAATTCAGGTTTAACATCTTATATTATTTTTGAACAATAATAAGTTCACAGTATTAGATTGTTAGTGGGGGTTCAATTCAAGATCACAATGCAATGTGCTTTGTTCTACAATTGTGTTCAAACGTTTTGGATTTCTTTTTTTATCTATAGATTTGCATTAATATTGTTTGTTGCCAAGTTAGTTCTCTTCCGTGCACATCGATATATAAAGCTTGAGATTTAGATTTTCAATCATGTGATCCTCAAATGCTTTAGTAATTAGTTGGTTAAATATCTGGTGATCATTTGGGGCTATAGAATATTAAATTTGTTGTCAATGCTTTGAAATTTAGCTGAGTACCATGGATACCTGATTGTTTCAAATTTTTGTTTATTTCCGCTTCACATTAATGTAAAGTTATATTTATGAAAGAAAAAAAAAAACAGTTTACACCTATGCCACCTGACAGGCATAGTTGTTTTTTATTTATTTCTTAACTTATTAAAACTAACTTAGTAAGTGTTTTTCTTTTTGGTTTATGCATTTGCAGTGTGGGAAAGTAATTGATTATATCTGCTTAACCCTGTTTTTCCCTTTTGGGACAAGTGCTTCAGATTTTGTTGTACTTTTGGTAATTGATTATTTGGTTTCCTCTTTAGTTAGCTTTTCCAACTATTGTTTTACTGCTTTCATAATGTGTTAAGTGCTTGATAATAGTTATTTTTTGTCATATGTTAATTTCTGGTCATTTGTTTTACTATCCTAATATGAAATGTATTTTTTTTTTTGTCAAATTTAGTTCTTTAATTACTTTTGGTTGGCTTATTTCTTTTCTAAGTCCTTTTTATTTTTGGAATTTCGAGTTTATGTAGTGGTTATCGGTTTTGTGATAGTTATGTTAAAATTATTTTAACCATTTATTTAATTAGGAATGAAAGAAATCAATCCTTCCTTTCATATTTGTTTACAGATTTGTGTTATACTGATTCTTATCTTATAAAATTTATCTCTCTTTTAACAGATTCAATGGAAACAATTGAGGTCACCCCTATTGCAAAATTGCGTCCTTACACTAAAGCGGAGAAAATAAAGATTCGTGTCTGTAGGATATGGAAATCTAGCATTTCTGCAACTGTTCGCAAATACGTTACACTACAGTGTATCTTGGTTGATGAAACGGTAAGCCATCATTCTCATAATTCAAATTAAGTATTTTAACAGTTATAGTTATGTAGTAAGATTTTTTTTTATATTTCATTGTTAGTTTGTTAATTTATATTTATGTTTATATATATATATATAATTTTTTTTTTAACAGTTTGATTTTTTAACATGTCTAAAGTGTTTTGCAAATCTTGGTTGTGATAGTTGACATATTTTCAGTTAGTTTATTTACCCACTGTGCTCATTCAATCTCTCTGTACCAAAATATAATGTTTTTCGCTATTTACTTGCTCATAAGTCTTTTAATTATGTTATTATTCTTTTTCTTTTTTTCTTTTTTTTTTCTTAATATGGTATGTGATCAATTACGAAGAACAATGCGGTTGAAGCATTTGCGTCAGACATTGATTGTGAACTGGTAGCCTCAAAGATTGATGCTGGTAGTTGTTACGAAATCATGAATTTTCGCACAATCAACATCAGAGGACAGTATAAAGTGGTGCCGCATGAAACCCAGGTTATATTCACTGGTGCAACATCGTTTAAAAAACTGTTTACCGTCTTTCCACCCATCCCTCGACATAGGTTTTTCCTACTAGATTTCAACATGCTCTATCCGCGTCTGAACAGAGACGATATTCTTACAGGTAACATCAATACGTGTGTATTTGTCTATATATATATATATGTGTGTGTGTGTGTGTGTGTGTATCTACATGTCCATCAATTAAAAACATTTATGTTGTTTTTTCACTGAAATGAGTTTTGACATTATTTTTGTATTAATTTTTTAAATTGTAAGATGTGATTGGCCATATAACTGCGGTCCAGCAATTGGAATCAAAACAGATTAATCAAAGAATAGTGCAGAAGTGTGATATACACATTGAGAATATCAGGTTGTTCTTTTCTTTAACTGTTGCAATTCCAATTTGTTAATATTATTTTCTCTGTTGGGCTGGGAAGAAAATTTAGAGTTTGTTTCTCATTTGTTTTGTGCACAGAAAAGAAGAATTGTCTGTTACATTGTGGGCAGATATTGCAGAAGCTTTTTGTTCTTTATCGATCCAGAAGTTGTCTTTGCCGATTATTGTTGTATTTACAAGTTTAAAAGTCAAGATTTACCTAGGTAAGCTCATCTAACTAATACCCATCTTTTCTGTCTTTATTTGGATATGTTCTTACATTTCTTGCTGTAAACTGTTCCACTATTTTATCATTATGGAATTTTAGTGTATTTGATTGTTACTCTTTAGGACAGAATTTTGATGTCTTATTTTTCTTTCTTTCTTATTTATAAACTGTTAGAACCTGTTTGTTACAGTTTGTATTTTGTTTCTAGCATTACATGTTCAAATTATTTTATCACATTTTTATATGCATCCATTACAATAGTTTCCTCACATTTAAACATCTATCATCCAATTAAAAACATTTACTCATCTATCATATTTGCTAATATTTGTTTTACAATTCTGTTATTATTTTTTGCCATCGATAGAGAACATCGTTTTGAATAGTACTGGCTCCTCCCTTTTTTTCATTGACCCAGACATCCCGGAGGTTAACTCATATAAATCAATGTCAGTGCACTTCTAAAATCGTCCTTCCTGTTCAAACCTCTAAACATGCTAATTTTTCAAAATTTCTTATTTTCTTTTTAAACTTGCAGGTTCTCAACCTGTAAAGTCCCTGTAAAAATGCTGCCTCCTTCTTCAAGGCAGGCAAATGAAGCTGAAATTCTGCGTACAGCAAGAAGAGTAACAATAGATGAGCTGGCCTTTTTGGATCCTGATTTGTATAAGGTACACAAATGATTTATGCTTTTCTATTTTTTTTTTTTTAAACATTTACCTTCATTTTTACATATTGAACAGAAACTAATTTTGTTGTTGTTCTTTTATGACACACGTGTCATAAAACATGTGACAGAATGATACATTCCTATGTAAAGCATCTATCAAACGTTTTGACACACGTTATGATTGGTGGTACAATGCTTGCCCTAGCTGTGCCAAACAAATGCATAAGGACCCGTCGACCGGACAACTCATCTGTCAGAAACACCCCAACCAAATTCCAATACCATGGTAACATTCAATATGCAAGTTTGTTATCCTGTTTTTTTTTTAACTTTTTCTATGATTTTTAATTCCAAGCTGTTTCTTTCCAACTGAAAAATGACTTCAAATCTGTAACCTCTGTTCTTTAAACTTCTTTGCTCTGATTGTTAACAATGAGTTATAAACCATAAAAAAACTCATGGAATTCAATTTTTAAATATAGGTACAAAGTTAATTTCATTCTTGAAGACAACACTAATGAAATTAGTGCTTTGATAATTGGCAAAGGTGGTGAAAAACTCTTTGGTATGCCCTACAAAGATTTGGTCATGAATCAGATTGATTGACTAACAACAACTGCCAAATGAGTTTTTGCGACTGATTGGACAAAAGAAGATTTTCCACTTGCGATTCAGAAATAGAAAAAGTAGTTTTAACTCAACTGACGTGTTGGTTTACAATGTGTCTGATGATACAGCTATAGAACCAATAACTCCACAAATCTTACCAAGAGCAGTCACAGTATCTTCCACTAATGTATTATCTTTGACCTCACCACCTGAAACAAGCGGAGAATCACATAAACGAAAGAGGGAGTCTGTGAGGAAAGCTCTTTTTACTGGCAGTGAACAGAGGTATAAATTCAAACTCCATAGTATCATAAAATCTGACACTTTTATTTTACTTCATTGTGTTCAAATATTCATGTGTTCTAGCTATCTTGCTTTGCTTAATATATACCTCTCAAGAATCTTTTTTTTTTTTTTTTTTAAAGACACAATTTAAGTAAAGAGACACGAATTATAGTTAGACAACATTTTCTATGTTTTATCCAATAAAATGTGCTCATCACTCATAGTCATTTAAAACAGTGAAGCAGAAGAAATTCCAGAAGTTGACCCGAAAGAGTTTGATGAAATACCTATCAAATTGCTGAAAAAAAATCCACCTCCAGCTTCTGCAAAAACAGATAGTCCCTCCAAAAATTAACTGGGTCAGTATGGTTTCATTTTGCTAAATTCTTTGCTTCAAAACTGCTCAACTGTGAACTTAATCACTATCTAAATGCCTTGCATTATTTTTCTTTGTACAGGTTGGTTTCTCAATGACAACATTGATAATGGTCCTGCTATAAGACGTTTCCTCCTCTGCTACAATATATTTTGCATCTTTTGCTACTCTGTATTAAACATTGTCTAATATCTTTGGTGGTTTGCAAATACCACTTTCTGCACAAAACTGGACAATATTTTTTGCACCTCCGTATACCAGCATTTGTTAATTTTTTGTGTACAGAAGCTGGTTTAGTTTTTAGAGCACAAAGAACAGCTAAAGTAGAATATATAGCTCTAATATTTTTTGTATCCCTGTATGAAAGTATCTGCTAATATTTTGTTTGTAAGTATGATCATCCTAATCCAAAAACACTTATAAGTGCTGTGATCTAATCATAAAATTTCGTGTTTATCCCTACCTTCTCACAATTCAAGCTTTTCTCCAACTTTTCCATTTTCTTTGTTATTAATGTTGTCATTGCCTTACAAATTCATTTTCAAGTCTTTAATATAGCATTTCATTCTGCTTTTAAAACCCGCAGCAACGCGCGGGTATAAATAACTAGTTTTATTTCTAAACGTTCATCAAATTTTTTATTTTTTATTTTTTTAATTCATATTCAGTTATATTACGCATGTCTGGCTGGCCACAGTGAATGTCAGAAGTCAACCAACGGTCCTGGATATCAACGAAAATGCTGGAAAGGTTATCAAGGAAACCCTTACCCTTCTTGATGGTTGCCAAGGTATGATACAACTTTGCGAGTAACGCTACTCCTACTATATTTTTACATACTAAATTTGTATCACCTTTTTAATAAAAGTAAAATCCGTTAATATATTTAGGTCTCATCTCTATTAGAAAAGTGGTAAAAATGTGATAAGAGTAGTATTTTTGCTTTGCAATATATATGTGATGATGTTGCTGTTATTATTCTAAAAGAGTAATGAATAATGAGTATTTTTGAGTGCTAATAATAATTGTCTTACAAACAATATATTGCTATAATTGATCATAATCAGCAAGCTAGCTAGCTAGACCCATTAACCCGTTATTAATCTTCTTTTAACTGCAACGGACGTAGTTTGCCTTGTTGTAATTACAGATATTAACGATTGCGAGGTATCAAACCTTTGCATTAGCCCAAAAGACGGGTCAACTTGCCTGGAGGCTTTAATTGCAGTTGTCCACAAACAAAACAAAGGAGATGGGATGAGAAACGGAGTGGTTGCAGCTTAGAGGAAAAGTCTGGCAATCAATCTCTAAGAGACGTACTAACGTTGCACTGGGAAAGTATATATGTTAGGACACATACTACGAGGCATGGATAAGGTGGTATCCCCTCGTATCTCCGTGTACTATTGTATCTTTATGTCGTCATCCATCAATTCTTCCTGTTAATTTGACATATTCCCGTGTCGCTTTGTGTTGTAACCCCGTGGCCGTTTCTGTGTCCATGTACCATAGCATATATATTTATGTTAATTATTTCTCTAATAATTAGAGGTGAAACTCTTTTTTTTCCCTTCTTTTATTTACCATGAGAGCGCAGGCGTTTGCATAGGCATTTTGGTGTTGACCACAGGAGGTTTTCGGATTTGTTGGGGAATAAAGAAAAGAAATTCATCAAACTCAGAGAAGTTCTTTCAACATAATGATAGCTTATTGTTACTACAACAACTCATCTCTGATCATATAGGTTCCGTACGTGGAATTAATAGAAAATTTCACTACAGAAGAGCTCGAAAACGCCACAAACAATTATGACGATAGTGAAGTCATTGGAAAAGGAGGCAATGGAACTGTTTACAAGGGAGTTCTACATGACGATAAGGTGGTTGCCATTAAGAATTCCGAGAATTATGACTAAATCCAGATCGCACATAACGAGGTAATTTTGCTTTCACAAATCAACCATCGCAACGTGGTGTGGTGAAGCCATTCAGTTGTTGCTTGGAGACGGAAGTGCCCTTACTAGATTACGACTCCATCACAAACGGGACTCTTGCAAGTCATATTCACATTAATATCTTTAATCAGCAGACGTTTTCGTTTTCACTTAGACTTTCATGGGAGATGTGCCTTAAAGTTGCAACGGAAACTGCAGGGGCGCTTGCGTACTTGCACTCAGGAACTTGTGTGCCCATCATACACAGAAATGTCAAAGACTGCCAATATCATGTTGGATGATGTCTACACAGCAAAAGGTTGCCGACTTCGGAGCTCGAGACTTAATCCTATTGATCGAACTCTGTTAGAGACTTTGGTGCTGGGAAAACTTGGATTTTAGACCCAGAATATTTCGCAGGTAGCCAATTGACAGAAAAAGGGACGTGTACAGTTTTGGTGGAGCTATTAACAGGTAAGGAAGAACCAGCCACATTCTAAAAGGATTAATCTGGCAAAGTACTTTGTTGCTTTTAGGGAAGGTAATCGCTTGCGCGAAATTCTTGACGATCAATTGGTAATCGGTGTCAGTGAGGTAATCTTTGAGTAACTGGTCGGTTGCTGACCTTGCAATTACGTGCTTAAAAGAGAGAGGAGAGGAAAGACCAAATATGAAGGAAGTCAAGACTAAAGTTAGAAGAGCTCCTGTATATGAAATTTTTTGAAGTCGTAGTGTCTATGTTACCTAGACCTAGTTAGAACCACGACCTAGTTAGAATATTTATTCCGAGCCTTTTCTTGATGGATAATGTCAGGGAGACTAAATGTGTAGACTAAATTTTATAAACTAAATGATATGAAAGTTAATAATTGGATTATTACTTAATTGTTGATAAACGTGCTTAAATCTTATTAGTGACACATCATTTAATTTGTAAATTTAATCTATTTTAGTCTTCCTATCATTACTCTTTCTTGATTATTCGTTTTCTAATTAGACAATGAGGATCATCAACTGATGATGACACAAATTCTTTTGGCATAATTGTTCAGTTGACTTGGGCTGTGCAGAGTATTAATTTCTAAAGTCGAAACATGTGCATTGTCCATTTTTGGGAATTGAACAACAATTTAAGGACGGACGTACATTTGAGTTTGGAGAGACACTTCATTACGTCTGTCTGGCTAGGCAGCTCTCACACTTGGCAGGCCATCCGCCTGCAAGCGGCTTCAGGAATATTGTCAAACCCTATTTTGTATAATTTTCCAACACTATGCTTGGTTATTTCCAACTCGACGGCCAATTCTTAATTTCCATGGAAGTATCCGCCTACTTTCTCACTGATGATGACAGCACGGATAATTTAAAGCATTCTGTATATATTGTGATTTCTAACAAATAAGCTAATCAAAGACTTGCACCTAGCCTACTTGATGACCGATCAGCCATGTCGAACCACGAACAACTTCTGCTATTTCTGGTCATCATCATCATCTTCTACTTGACACCAATTTGTCGGGAGAGAGAAGAATGTGCCGACGAAATAGCCATAGCGACAAACACATTTTGTAGGTTGAAACGTATTATTTGTCAGCTAAAAAAGCTTGTACCGACAAAAATATTTGTTGAAAGATGGAAATGCTGACAAAAAGGATTTTGTCGGGAAGTTGAATTTTAGCCGACGAAATACCAAATTTTCCCTCTTTCTTAAAATTTACATTTGAATACCAAATTTTTTACGGTTAGGGCTTTTTAAATTCCTAAGCCTAATTAATTAAGGAAATATATTGCGATAACTCTCTTTAACTTTCACGCTGCTCCTTCTCTCTCAATCAATCACGCTTTTCTCTCTCTCTCTCTAGTTTCTCACATCCCTCTCACCGCCTCGTCCCTCTCGCTCTGTCATCCTTCACTCATGGACTCGAATCTGCGCTCTCTTTCCTTTGAGAGGTAGGTGGCTTTCAATTGGTCTTTCTCATCTCTCACTCACATCTTTGTCGCTCATCTCTTTCCCTTTCTCATATTTATCATTGTGCACCTTGTTGTTGCAGTGCGTGGCCCAAAATTTCTCGCCGAATTTGATAATAGAAGGTATGTGATGGAGATTTGGATAACTACACTATTTGTGGAGTTTTGTTTTTGGTCTTGTTTTGATTCTTGACCTAGAATTGGATATTGAATTGAATGGTTTGTGTTTTTTCTTTTCTTTTGTTTTTTTTTCTTTTTTTTTTTTGTATTGGGTATAAATTGAATGCTATATTTTACATTTTGATTGGGTATGGAATTGATGGTATGTTTGGAGTATGAGGTTGAGGCGTGTAGTGCATTCACCTATTGCTTGTTTTTTTCCCTCAATTGATGCTATATTATTTGTTCAAATTGTTAGATTTAGGGGTCGGGTAAATTGATTTTAGGGATTTCAATTGTGACCTGGGTTCTGATATTTTTTAGAGAGATGAGGCTTGACTATGGCTTAAGTTTGGGGTCAATTTTACTTTACCAGGCATTGGGAAGTAATTACACGAGTGCCAAATCTTCTCTTCAAACTGCCACACAACGTACGGTTCGATTATTTGACCAAAAAATCGTACGGTTCGATTAATTTAACTTGCTGCTGCTTTTGACGCGTGGAGGTTTGGAGAGAATTAATTGAGTAAACAGGGGGGATCTACCATGCGACACATGTAAAGAGCAAGGATAAAATAAAGAGGGAAAAAGTTAATTTACTGAATTAATAGGCAGGCCTTCTCTACATGTTTTGTGGCCTCATTGTTGGGGGTTGCCCTTTGCACTCCAAAAAAGTACATATTTTGTTCCTAATCAGGCCTAACTCTTTGAGTTATACCCTTTTTTAATCAAAAAATTTCCACCGTCAAAATTATTATAAAAGTTTCGAACCCTTCATCTCTTTCCGTAATAATAGTACAATAAAAAATAAAATAAAATACTTGTTTACCATTCATGTTAGTGGTGGATTTGTCTACTCAATTCACTCATCAAGTAACTTGTATGTTTCAATGTTATTATCTTGTATAAGTTACGAATAAGTGAGGTTAAGAATGATGAACATTGAAGATTGTCGATCAATGTATGTGTTAAAAATTGTAAAAGAAACTTAATTCACTATAAACTTAAAGTTTTCATTATATACCTTCAACTTAACGTGGAGAAAACAAATTATAGGAACAAGAAAGTGAGGAAATCTCATGGTATATTTGAAGATAAGAATAAGACGATCTAAATACAACTCCAAAAGTTGTTCAAAATACTCCTACAAAATTTACCCCGAAAGGAAAATAAGAGAATAATCAAATACTAAAAATTATCCAAAATATTAAAATCTGCAGTCAAAATTTATGGTGAAATCACACAACTCAAGTATTACATAAACAAAGCTCACAACTTGCTAAAAACACAGCTCAAGCAAAACTAATACATAACTTTTTATTCCTCAAAACTAATTACAGTTAAATTTACGCTTTTTGAGCTCCTTCATAAACTTATCTGCTAATCATCCTCCCTCACGACTCAAAATTAGTAATTAATTACATCGAATCTCCCAATAAATCCCAATTCTCTGAAGAGGTCTCGACACTTAATTGTACAATATTAGGCTCTTGTTTTTTCAGAGTATCATATACTTTTTCAATGAAAAAAATTCAATTTTTTCTTGGACGTAAACATATTTTCTCATTCATTTGCCATGACAGGAATCTATGCTTTGAACAAGCATAAGATACAAAAGAGTACCTAATTTTTGAATATTTCTTTTTAGGTGACTCATGCTTTTCCTCCATTATTTTGTAGGAACACTGGGACAGGACCATTCATTTCTTGGGGGAGAAATAGAACACATAAACTAATTAACAATAATTAAATAAAGGATAAATTACACTTTACCACCTCAAGTTTGGGGTCAATTTCAATTCCTTACAACATTTTTAAAACATTTCACTTTCATACCTCAAGTACTATTTTATTTCAATATAATATCTCCATTACATTTTCCATCCATTGATCTATTAAGTGTTGACGTGGCTGTCACATTTATGCCACGTGGCTGCCAAATGTGCGCCACATGGCAAAAAAAAAAAAAACCTTAATCTTCTAAATTTAATAATAATAAAAAAAAACTTAGAAAATCCAGATTCCATCACCCCACCCTCATAACCTTGAACAAAAAGAAAAAACCCGGATCCCCCCAACCCCCCCCGGGGCGTGAAACCCAGATCCCATATCCCCCCCCACCGGTCGGAGCCTCATCGTCTTCCATCCGTCCGCACCCATCCTCCACCACCTTCTCCGCACCCATCCTTCACCTCCTCCGCACACCCATCTTCCCCCTCCCCAACCTACAACCCATAAAGAAGGAAATAAAAAAAAAAAAAAAAAAACCAGCGCACCCACCCTCGCACGCATCCTCTTCCCTCCTCTACACACCCCACTCCTTATTGGGGAAGACGGGATTTGGGTTGTAGGGAAAGGGATATGGGGTTTTTTTTTCTTCTCTTTTCTTTTCTGGGTTGCAGGTAGTGGGTGCGGGGGAGGAGGTGGAGGATGGGTGCACGGTGGGTTTGGGGAAGACGGAGGGGAAAGAAAGGGGTGGGTTGCAAGGAAGGGGAGTCGGGGAAGATGAAGATAGGTTTTTTTTTCTTTCTTTTCCTCTCCTTTTCTTCTTTTTCTGGGTTGCAGGTTGGGTGGGTAGCGGGGTTGCGGGTTCAGCTTTTGTTTTTGGTTTTTTTTTTTTTTTTTAATTTAGAAGATTAAGGTGTTTAAAAAAAAATTAAAATTTTTTTTGCCACGTGGCAGACATTTGGCAACCACGTGGCATAAATGTGGCAGCCACGTCAACACTTCACGGATCAATGGATGGAAAATGTAACGGAGGTACTATATTGAAATAAAATCGTACTTGAGGTATGAAAGTGAAATGTTTTAAAGATGTTGTAAGGAATTGAAATCGACCCCAAACCTCAGGTGGTAAAGTGGAATTTACCCTTTTTTTTTTTTTTTTTATATTCCTTGCACATTGAAAAATTTTGGTACTATTTGGGGGGTTTTGGTGTTGCAAGTTCAACGGTTGGCTTATGCATGGCTTTATTAAGCTAAAATAAGTGCAAGCCCAATGTGTGGTATTCATCTTCACTTGTAAGTAAGAGGTCTCATGTCGAATCTTGTGTATGGAAAATTCGATGTCAAATTAGGTTGCCTATTGTGTGGTTTAGCCTCTCCCTCCCCTTAGTGTAAAATATATTGTTGTACTAAGAAGAAAAAAAAATTATTGTGTAACATTTTGTACCTCCTTTTATTCATTGTGATTTACATCTTATTCAGGGACTGAAGAGAACTTCTCAAATGGCAAGTGGTTTGAAATGTTGATTGCAAGGTTTGGATGAGCTGTTGTCTTGGCCTTTAAGAATATATGCATCTAGTACATGCTTTCTCATCCAAGATGCAAGTGAAATTCAAGTTTGATACATAAAGAAAAACCTTATTACAGATATCACTGTGAGTAGAAATATTTATTTATAATCTGTTTTACGATACACTTGCAATTAGGAATACATAATGAATAAGACTATCTTACTCTGAATTTGAGAAATCAGAATCTATGAACTCTTTAGATTAGGTATTTTTAAATCAATTATGATGGTCTGATTTTAATTGCATGCTAGTTGATGTGTAAGATTGGATTTGGAGACAATTTGTTGCTGTTGTTTAGAATGGTCTGAATTGTTTTCAATTGCCATGTGTGTTGAAATTTATCCTTCGTCTTTTATTCTTTTCAAGTGAACTTTGACATAGACACCAAAATTTATGAATACTATGACTACCTCAACAGACTCAAGCTATTTTGATACAAGAAGTTCAAGTTTGAGTTACATGAGAGTTTGGACAAGAGAACCAGGGCAATGAGAGCTTTTGTATGAACATTTTCAGGCAGAGTGATTTTTGACATATGTTGGTTGGTTCATTTGTAACATTCCTTCAATTTTGTTTTTATGATTTCACCTATGATGCTTTTGTATAAGCACTGTAGATATGCTTTTGTACATTCAGCATTTATCATTCAATAAAACATAACTTCTTAACAATTTTGTGTGTTGTATTTTGATATGCTTATGTAATAGCTAAGCATTAAAGCATTTTTTTTTATTTTATAAATTAAATGTAATCCCGACAAACCAATTTGTCGGGAGAGAGAAGACTGTGCCGACGAAATAGCCATAGCAACAAACACATTTTGTATGTTGAAACGTATTATTTGTCGGCTAAAAAAGCTTGTACTGACAAAAATATTTGTTGAAAGATGGAAATGTTGACAAAAAGGATTTTGTCGGGAAGTTGAATTTTAGCCGACGAAATACCAATTTTTGTCAGGAAAATTCTTAGGCGACATGCTTTTAGTGACAAAATTGCTGACAAACTTTTTCATTGGGAAAGACAGTTTGGCGACAAATTTTGACTTTTGCCGATAAATTAATTTTGTCGGTAAAGTCAAAATTTCTAGTAGTGTGTGCATTGTCCATTTTAATTTGTCGGCAAAGTCAAAATTTCTAGTAGTGTGTGCATTGTCCATTTTGGGAATTGAACAACAATTTAAGGGACGGACATACATTTGAGTTTGGAGAGACACTTCATTACGTCTGTCTGGCTAGGCAGCTCTCACACTTGGCAGGCCAGCCGCTTGCAAGCGGCTTCAGGCATATTGTCAAACCCTATTTTGTATAATTTTCTAGACCTAGTTAGAACCAAGACCTAGTTAGAATATTTATTCCGAGCCTTTTCTTGATGGATAATGTCAGGGAGACTAAATGTGTAGACTAAATTTTATAAACTAAATGATATGAAAGTTAATAATTGGATTATTACTTAATTGTTGATAAACGTGCTTAAATCTTATTAGTGACACATCATTTAATTTGTAAATTTAATCTATTTTAGTCTTCCTATCATTACTCTTTCTTGATTATTCGTTTTCTAATTAGACAATGAGGATCATCAACTGATGATGACACAAATTCTTTTGGCATATTTGTTCAGTTGACTTGGGCTGTGCAGAGTATTAATTTCTAAAGTCGAAACATGTGCATTGTCCATTTTTGGGAATTGAACAACAATTTAAGGACGGACGTACATTTGAGTTTGGAGAGACACTTCATTACGTCTGTCTGGCTAGGCAGCTCTCACACTTGGCAGGCCAGCCGCCTGCAAGCGGCTTCAGGAATATTGTCAAACCCTATTTTGTATAATTTTCCAACACTATGCTTGGTTATTTCCAACTCGACGGCCAATTCTTAATTTCCATGGAAGTATCCGCCTACTTTCTCACTGATGATGACAGCGCGGATAATTTAAAGCATTCTGTATATATTGTGCTTTCTAACAAATGAGCTAATCAAAGACTTGCACCTAGCCTACTTGATGACCGATCAGCCATGTCGAACCACGAACAACTTCTGCTATTTCTGGTCATCGTCATCATCTTCTACTTGACACCAAAGACAGCATTCGGGCAACCAAAGTCAGGCTGCCCCGGCACCTGCGGCTCTCAGAGCATCCCATATCCATTTGGCACAACTCCAGGCTGTTACCTCGACGAGTCGTTTCTCATTTCCTGCAACGACACGTCAAACGGTCAGAAAGCATTATTTTTCCCAAAAAGCAACGTAAGCATCCTCGGCATATCGCTCGTTGATCACGAAATACGAGTCTCCAGCTCCATATCCTACGATTGCTACGAATACGACAACTCAGGCCATCTCAGCAACAGCAGCGAAAGAGTCTCTTCCATGCTCACGTTCTCCAAGTTCCCTATTTCAAGTAGCCGCAATATGTTCACTGCTGTCGGCTGTGACACTGTCGGGGTTATCGCAGGCTCGAAAGGGCGAAGCTACACGACCGGATGCGTATCCCTTTGTACAAAGTTTGAGGATGTGGAGAACGGGACATGCTCCGGCATTGGTTGTTGCCAAATACCTATACCGGAAGATGTGATAGATTATGCCACGGCAACTGCGAGCTTGAGAAACCATTCGGACGTCAGAGGCTTCAATCCGTGCGGCTATGCTTTTGTTGTGGAAGAAGACGCCTTCAACTTTTCCTCCTTGGATCTTGGAAACTTTCAGAATAGGGAGAGTTTCCCGGTGGTGGTTGATTGGGCTGTTGGGAACCAAACATGCCAACAAGCTAAAACCAGTGCTACTTATGCATGTCTGGCTAACAACAGTGAGTGTTACGAATCAAACAACGGGGGTGGCTACATCTGCAAATGCAATAAGGGTTATCAAGGAAATCCATACCTTCTTGATGGATGTCAAGGTACTAATTAAACTCATCTAGAAATATTACTAAACCGTAGTTTTTGTGACATCTAGGAAACTTATCCTCTTCGTTCTTTAAGCTTAATTAATAATCATACGGTTGGTTAATTGTACTCTTAATTAATTAATTTTTCTGATGGATTAATTGTTAATTTCAGATATAAACGAGTGCGAGGTTTCAAACCCGTGCAGCAGTACAGCAACATGCGACAATATCCTTGGAAGCGTGAATTGCTTCTGTCCCAAGGGACACGACGGGGACGGAATGAGAAACGGAGAAGGTTGCAGCCCAATTGATAAACGTAGCACTCAATCTCTCAAACTTGCTATTGCCTTAGGTGAGCACAATAACATTATTTATGAATTGATTAATATTCTCAATTATATTTCATACTCATTAGAGTGGATTGATCCTCTATTCAGATTTTCTCTAACGAGTTCAAATATTATGCATTCATTTTACGTGTGATTTTTCTGTGACCTCTATCATTAATTAACAAATGAGTTCAGAAGATTTGGTCTTTTCTCTGATAGGGTCTACTTTGAAATATAAAAATGTCAAAAATCCGACTTAAATACACATAGACATAGAATTAATTTGAGGGTTGCCTAGGTGTGGCATTAATCATGAAGACATTGAAAAATCAACTTCCCCAGCTAGTGTTAATATCACAGCCAATGAAAATCATATAAATCTAATTGACTAAATCCTGAAATTAAAGAAAGACCTAGAAGAATAGAATATGGGCCAAGTAAACAACGTTGGAATTACAAATGCAAACATCATTATCTTCACGACTAGTTCAATTTTGTTCTCTTGTGGACTGGCTTCTTATTATATATGCAGTAGCCGTCGATTTATTCAATGGTTGCCTTGTTATCTTAGTTTTCATAAATTTAGTAGCCTTTTTTTTATTGATTTTTTTTTTTTTTTGGTTAAAGCATTTTAATCGTTTTTGATGCTATTGGTTTCTTTGAGCTAACAAGTCAAGAATAACTGCATATTTCTATAGTTTCTTCTTAGAACAAAACTTGAGAATTTCACTGTTTCTAAACCTCAATTTATGGTCAGCAAGGGGAACTGAACATGCATTTTCATACCCAATTTATGGTCAGTTCATGTTTCAATTAATTTGTAAACTTTACTGGTAGCTTACAAATGTACAAAGGAAATTTCTCTCTCAAAGTAAAATAATGGACTCTAGTGTACACTTAAATTGCGTGCTAGTGTCATCAAATTTATGTACGAAATTTGATTAGCAATTGATGTGTCAGCGTATGTGCCAATTAATGCAGGCATCTGTATAGGCATGTTGGCATTGCTCGTTGGAGGTTTTTGGATTTATTGGGGAACCAAAAGAAGAAAATACATTCAACTTCGAGAGAAATTTTTTCAACAAAATGGTGGCATATTGCTACAGCAGCAACTCTCTTGTCACAGAGGATCTGTCGAGACAGCCAAAATTTTCACCTGCGGAGGAACTGCAAAATGCGACTAATAATTACGATGAAAGTAGGGTTCTTGGCCAAGGAGGCTACGGAACAGTGTACAGGGGATTGCTATCAGATAACAAAGTTGTTGCCATTAAGAAATCCAAAATTTGTGACCAAAGCCAAATCGAACAATTCATAAACGAGGTAATCGTGCTTTCACAAGTTAATCATCGTAATGTGGTCAAGCTATTGGGGTGTTGTTTGGAGACGGAAGTACCCTTACTAGTTTACGAGTTCATCACAAATGGTACTCTTTCCGATCATCTTCATGATAATAGCCAAAACTATTCGTTGCTTCCTTGGGAAATGCGCCTTAAAATTGCAGCAGAAGCAGCTGGGGCACTTGCATACTTGCACTCTGCAACTTCTATGCCTATCATACATAGAGATGTGAAGACTACCAATATTCTATTGGATGATAATTATATAGCAAAAGTTGCTGACTTTGGAGCTTCAAGGCTTATTCCTATCGATCAAACTCAGCTAACCACTCTAGTACAAGGAACACTCGGATACTTAGACCCCGAATACTTCCACAGCAGTCAGCTGACAGAAAAAAGTGACGTCTATAGTTTCGGAGTTGTTCTCGCGGAGCTGCTGACGGGGAAAAAGGCACTTTCTTTTGATAGGCCAGAGAGCGAGAGAAACCTAGCAATGTACTTTGTTTCTTCGATGAAAGAGGATCGCTTAATTGAAATTCTTGATGATCATGTGAATGTCGATGAGGAAATAATTATCAAGCAAATACGGGAAGTAGCTAGTCTTACAAAGAGGTGCTTGAAGGTAAAAGGAGACGACAGGCCTACTATGAAGGCAGTCACGGCGGAGCTAGACGGACTGATCAGTTTGGGGAAGCATCCGTGGGGAAGACATGGGTTTGGATTCGAAGAGACTGAGTACTTGCTCAAACCTAATTCTGAGCGTTACAACGGAGACGGGGATGAACCTGGTGGAAATTGCAGTACTAGTAATACTAGTTATGCAGGGTTTGATAGCATGAAAAACCATATCATAATGCCACATGATGATGGGCGATAGATTCTTCTGTCTTTTAGCTAGTGGATGTTAATTAGACGTGTACTATATTAGGATTAATGTCAATATTTGCTGATGGTTACTGTTAGAAGTTGAAAGATTACGTTGGATTCTTTTTTATTAAATTAGCAAATTCGTATTATAGTGTTGTTTTTGTACATTTGCAAGTGAAAAATTGTATTTTATTTTTTCTTTGATTACAATCCCAATTATTATAATTAGTCATATTTAAAAATATAAAAAATTTATGAAAAGCAGAAAAACGCTATTACAGAAAAGAAAAAAAGAAAAAAAAATAGGAAAAAGGGAATTTAAGAAAAGGATAAGAAGTAGTGAGAAATCAATTGTATTATCCTGTCGAAAGTTGTATTACTATGTTGGGACAATCCACCCACGCGATTGGGCCGTGGCCATTCCTTTTGAAATATATAAAAAAGCGTCTGTCTTATCCAACGGGCACAAATTGCATTCTACTTCTTATCCCGTTGAAGATTCAACTCTCTCTCTCTCTCTCTCTCTCTCTCCCCCACCCTCCCTCGAGTCGGAGTCTGTCTCACTCGCACAAAAAGCTCCCAAATTGCACACAGACCAATATTATTATATATACGATCAGTAGACAGCAGTAGTAATTGCTAGCAGTCTGTGTCTGAGATTCTCCAATGGCCCTTAATCCTAATTTGTTGAACATGGCTATGATATGGTGTCTAGTACTACTCTTTTCAGTGACCAATGCCGTGAAACATGAAGAAATAGAAACGCAGAGACGACTGGGAGAAGGTGACAGGGTCACCAACTTGCCCGGACAGCCGCCGGTGTCATTCCCGCACTACGCCGGCTACGTCCAACTTCCCAAATCCGGCAAGGCCTTGTTCTACTGGTTTTTTCAAGCTCAAGAGAATGCATCTCGGAAACCCCTTGTTCTTTGGCTTAATGGAGGTCAGTTCCCTCTCTTCCAATCAAAATTTGCTTTTCGTTTTGGATTTTAGCTAGGGTCGTCATACATTTCTGCTTTTGTTGTGGCGTTTTTATAATTAATAAGTATATGAGTATATGAGATACAACGGTACGATTAAATTTGATATTATCGAAAGTTAATGTTTAATCATCTACTAACTGTGCATTTCATACATAGATGTATTATAAAATTTTCAAAAAAAAAGAAGCGATAAGATTTGGATGTTTCAAATTAAAAGTGTTTCTTTCTTCTTAATAATGTAAGTATATTTTTCATGTGTATTTCATTGGGTTGGATGGGTTTACACTTTATCCTTTCCATATTTTGCCATTTGTTTTTCTTGATCTTCTTTTTGAATTGTGTGTTGGTGTCCGTTGAGAGGCACAATTTGTCAACAAGAAGACAAAATAGGCATAAGAAATCAGAAAACACAGAGCATCAGATGTTAGAATGGTGTCTTTTTCCGTTATTCTTGACGGCGAGAGCCGGTTTGCGGTAATGTCTCTCCACTCTCAGTCTGAGCACACCAGACGGACAAAGTACCATCTGTCCTGTCCAGTAACGGACTTGATTCTCTGGTCCTCTCTGGTCTGGAGCCTCTGGATCGTAGAAGAGCAGAGAACATAACAGAGAGCAGGGATCATCCCATCCCATCCCATCCAAATTCCAATAAAGTCAAAAACTTTTACAGTAACGAATATTTGCCGCCCCGCCGTTACATTTGACGCCCGTCCTACCCATACCCAAACCAAGAAGTGCATTCCCCCAGGCCCCAATATGTGATAATCATACAGGAATGAAGCAGTCTTTGGCCTCATTTTTCACTTGGTTCATATGATTTTAAGTAAAATCACATGGTTGAATCATGAACCAACTTCGTTGGTACCTTTAGTCCAAAGCAGATATATAATTAATATATTTCCATCTTCATCGTCATGATTTAATCATAAATAAAAAGAATAGTGACGTTACTGTATATATTGTTGGCAATGGCATGGCATGCAAATGGGATATTTTCACATACATTGAATACGGTCTGGCCTGCCTCTGGCCGTCACTGATTCAGTTGCAGGCCTCTGCTTCTATTACTATTTAATGCTATATTTTCTTTTGACGACCGAGAGAATTCTATAACTACTTCTAAATTTTTAATAGTGGAGAAGATAATATAACGGATATATTATCATGGTAATATTTCAACTTTATAGTGTAATATTGTATGTGAATTTTTTTGCAAAGTATTTACATTATAGTATTAAGATGTCATGTGAAAAAAAAAAAAAAAAAAAAACTTATGTCGTGCTAGGCCTTTGACTAATGAGTTGGTAGGATCCACTATTCTCGCGTTCTCTTCGACATCATCCAATGCAGTAGCAATATACCCTTTTTTTCGTTTTTTTTCTTTTCCAGTTTTCACCCCCACCACTTCAATTTGTTTGTTTCTTTGTTATAATTGGTAGCAAGCCTGGTTCTGGAAGGCTATGCACATGCAAATGCAACAGCCAATGCCCCATTAGTCATCAATCCCTACTCACGAGTCACCGCCGGCCAATTTGATTTGGTTTACTAATTTGGGCATGCAATTAATTAAGATTAATATCCCCTCTTTTCTTTGGTTTCTTCGTATTTTTTGCTCTTTTACTGAAATTGAGAGAGAGCTAGGTCTTCCCAACTTGTAATTTTAGGCATTTCTTTCCATTTTTGCTTGATTAGTAATGGTCCAGGAATGATGTATTGTATTGGTCCAATGACACCATCTTCCAATTATTTCAGGACCTGGGTGCTCATCCGTAGCTTATGGAGCTGCACAAGAACTTGGCCCCTTTCTTGTTCGAAACAATGGAACCCTAATTCTTAACAATTACTCCTGGAACAAAGGTTTATAGTAATTAATTAATAATTAACATTGCATAATAAGCTTGATTTCTTGAATACTTAGATGATGATATATGTATGGTCATGATGTTCAGTTGCCAATGTGCTGTTCCTGGAGTCACCTGTTGGAGTAGGGTTTTCCTACACAAACAACACCAAGGATTTGCGTACAATGGGCGATCGAATCACAGCCGCTGATTCGCATGCTTTCCTGGTGGAATGGTTTAAGAAGTTCCCAACCTTAAAAACCCATGATTTCTACATAGCTGGGGAGAGCTATGCTGGCCATTACGTCCCCCAGCTTGCCAACCTCATATACGACCGAAACAAACGAACCACCAGATCATCATCCCCATCAGAGTACTCCTCCTCTTTCATAAATCTGAAAGGTTTCATGGTGAGCCAGCCTACATGCACCCTAACTCTACATACAATTAACTCATTTCTTTAATTATCTAACTAATTAATCGATCATTCGCATTATAATTGAATTAGATTGGGAATGCTGTGATCAATGGACCGACGGACAACAGTGGGATGTTTGATTACGCATGGAGCCATGCCATAATCTCGGACACGCTCTACAACAACTTAGTAAATAAATGTGATGTCGTCAATGATGACAACCAAACAGAAGAGTGCAACGAACACGTTCGAGCCTTCTTACAAGATTATTCTGAAATTGACATCTACGGCATTTATGCACCCACCTGCCTCACTGATCCATCTCCATCTACTACTGCTTCTCCCAAACAAACAAGGATTAACAATTTCATGAAAAATGTTGCACCTCGTCTGCTCAATCAACATGTAAGTCATCATTCACTCTCGATTTATCTCACCTAATTCATTAGCTAACCAGTAATTAGTAAACACTAATAAATTAAGCAGTTATGTAATTTTAGTGTGGTTAATTAATTTTGCAAAATGTATATATAGGAGCTTTGGCAGAGGCTACCATCAGGGTATGATCCCTGCATAGAGGATTATGTTGAGCAATATTTCAACAGAGAGGATGTTCAGAAGGCCCTGCATGCCAATGTTACTAAACTTTCCTATCCTTACTCCCCTTGCAGGTAACTATGATCTACATATACATATATATATATATATATTTATATATGATTCGATTCATATAACCAGTTCTCTTTCTCTCAATCCCTCTGGAATTTAGGGGGAGAGAAATATTCAGAGAGGTAGCTGAAAGTCAATTTCAAGAATTTATTAGAAGGAACATGCACGTTGAGAAATCAATGAACTGGAGCTTTCTTTCTGTTTTCACACAGCCACAAGGGCCAGATCATAATTAATGAAAGATATCTTGCAGTAACATTTGTCCTTGTCTTCTTCCTTTTGTTTTTTCTTCTTTTTTTCTCCAATAAAACGCAAATTTGAAATATTTGGTAAATTATATTGTGCAATTGGAAATCAATAATTCAAATAGATAGATAACTAGAAGATTACAAATTATCGACACCTCGTTTTCATTTCCTTACTATGGTCCATGGTAGTTCCCTTCCCACTAAAACCAGTCAAGCTAGCTGTTATGTTTTTCCTCCATATTTGTCTTTTATATAATTAGTCAGTAGAAATTAGTCATACGATAGCAAAACAAGAAAAGCTGATGCTGGTACCGGTACCGGTGGGTAGGTATGTCTGTGGTAATATTAAATAATTCGTCAAAACTCTAAACACAAATTGCATGCAGGAGGACCGTCCTTTACTTTACTACTCTATTTAGGGTGGTGGGGAGTGGAGTGGGGACATATGCAAGTTGGTTTCCAGTATGGGATCGCACTTATTATTAGATTCTCGAATCTCACTTGCTTTTTTAAGTTCCCACCTCAAATTAGGCATTAATTATTTCCGCAAGCATTTTTCTGCAGCATATACTTATTGATGTTCACAATAACATCTATGGTATATATCTTATTCTGTTGCTTCCTGTGGCATGCAGCGGCATCATAAAGGAATGGAAGGACTCGCCTGATACCGTACTGCCAATCATTCAGAAGCTCTTGAAAGCTGGCTTGCGTATTTGGATCTATAGGTAATCGAGTTCATTAAAGATTACTGCACTAATAACTTGTAATTTGTGATTAGTAATAATTAAAAATCCTAATCAATTACATGCATGCAGTGGTGACACGGATGGGAGGGTGCCGGTAACATCAACGAGGTACAGCATAAAGAAGATGGGTTTAAGAGTAATTCAAGGATGGAAGGCATGGTTTGATAAGGGTCAAGTGGCCGGGTGGGCGGAGACGTACGAGGGCGGGCTCACGTTTGCGACGGTGAGGGGCGCAGGGCATCAAGTCCCGGTGTTTGCACCTCGGCAGTCTCTTTCTCTGTTTACCCATTTCCTCCATCCCAATCCCAACACCACCCACGGCCTCCCTTCTTCTCGTTTTTAGGCTTTTAGCTAGTAATAAAATAATAAAAATTCAGCTGCCTACCCCTCAATCTTTTACACTTAGGAATACGATGCTACTAGCTAGCCATCGTTGCATTTGCAAGTTTACCGCCAACAAGATGTAATATGACTCATAATTTATTAATAATATATATTCCAATATTACGTGCTATATATGTTTTTCACCAGATAAATTAGGGTTCGTTTAGAAGACTTCTAAAATGGTTGAAAACGTTTTTTAGAGAGAATGTTTTTGGTTGTAAAGCACTTAAAAATGTTTATTGCAAGAAACACCAGTTTTATGTGTTTCTGGTAGGAAGCACTTGAAGTGCTTGTACAGAACTTTACATTACTAAAGATTGATTCAAAAATATTTTTACAAAATACGTTCTCAGTTATTTTAAAATCAGTTCTTAACGAACCCTTATGTTTATCAATCATATCATGAGTTTATTTTATATACGCATAATTAACATGATTGCAAGCAGCCCTACCATAGGTAGGCGCAGCCACTCCCCATTCATCATCTTGGCAGCGACCACGGGAGAGATTCCATGTCTCTCAGAAATTAACGCAAGGAAAATCATCTCCCCCTAATAAACGGAACCGATACCAGTCTGTTTGATCTGGGCCGTTAATTTGATGGAAGAGAGGCCCTAGAATTGTACAAGGGAGTGCTTGTACAGTTCAATCTTCATCGTTTAATGTTAGCCCACTTTATTTTTATTCTTTAAAGCTGGTCCAGTCCAATTGATTTGGTTGGTTTTCTTGGAACCCAAAACGAATTAGATGCAGAAATTGAACTTTTACAGTTGCGAGCGGCTTCATAGCGTCCTCCGTCCTTCCTTCCTTCGTCGTCTGCTCGGCTAAGTGTCTGTCTACTGACGACTGACTTGTACTGAGAGTGAGAGTGAGAGGATTCATCCAAATCATTTGAATCCAAATGGCGTTCCTTTTCCACAAATTTCAGGAGGTAAACGTAAATCCTTCTCTCTCTCTATTTCTCAATTTCCCTAAACCAAACATTTCGCATCTCTATTTCAGTGATTTTCGTATTAAATCTGCTGTCTTGTCACTTTTTCTAATTCTGCATCGTTTATGTATATTTATTTGCACTAGAATTTATTTATTGACCACAAATTTGGCTTTTAATCATTCTCAGTGTTCTTCAGTTGGATGAAATTACCACATTCCAGTTTGAGAAAATTAACAAACCCAAAAAAAAGAATGAATTTTGTTGACAGGATCTCCATAAGAACCAAGAAGCAACAATAAAAATTACGACGTGCAAAGAAACGTACTTTACAATTTGAGGTTTCTAAGTTGCACTACACAATTCCTCTTTTCCTAGACTAGAGGAATGGGCATTAGACATGTTCATCCTGAGGTCAGGTTTTCGTCAGGATTTGGTGTTAATGGACTTCCAATTCCAAATGGGCAACCGCACTTCGCCATGCTACATGTGAAAATTAACGCTAAAATTGTTTTTGTTTTCAGGGTGTGAGAACTCTTGCTAAACAACCCATGTTTAACAGGAATCCAAGGCAACTGCAGTTTGAGGCAGATATGAATCGCCTCTTCCTATATACCAGGTTGCTCTCACACCACCATCTTCCCATATGAAAACAAAACTACTAATTTTTCCACCACTAAGGCCCTTTCTTTTCAAAAGAAAAAAAAAGTACTTGTATTGTGCATCTTGGATGTTGATTATGAAATACTTGTATATCCATATTGTGCATATTGTTCATCTTGGATGTTGATCATGAAATACTTGTACCTTTCTCACTCATATCGCATATTGTGCATCTTGGATGTTGGTTATGAAATACTTGTACCTTTCTCACTCCTATCGCATATTGTGCATCTTGGATGTTGATTATGAAATACTTGTGCATCCAGCTACAATCGCTTGGGAAGGGATGCGGATGAGGCAGATGTGGATGAGATCATTGACATGGCTAATAAAGCCTCCATTGCCGATCAACAGAAACAAGTCCAGGAAAACATTCATCTCCAAATTAAAAACTTCTGCGTGTCTATGGATGAAGTTCTTCTCCCTGATGTTAAGAAGTTAAATGTGGGAACTGAATCACCTAAACAATCAAATGCTTCTACTCGACGAAGTGGTCTTAGTTTTGCCATTGGTAGGAATGGTCCACCAGTTAAACATCGTGGTGAGCTTTTTACTTTTGTTTTCGGCTTCTTATTCCTCTCTTCTCAACAATTTTTCAGAATGTTTGATTACTATACTGATTAGTTATGATTTTCAGTACAGATGTGCCCGAAACAAGGCCATTACAGCGCATTGATGTTTCTCAAAAGTTAAAAGATCTCTTCGGCTACACGCTTGATATCAAACCTTCTCAAATACCCCACAAGGAAGCAGGTCAAGGTTTATTTCTAAATGGTGAATGTGATGTTGGTGCTGTGGTGGCCGTGTACCCTGGTGTAGTATATTCCCCTGCGTATTACCGCTACATACCTGGATACCCAAGAGTTAATGCTCAAAACTCATATTTGATCACAAGGTATGATGGGACTGTGATCAATGCACAACCTTGGGGTTATGGGGGCGAAACCCGTGAATTTTGGGATGGTTTAACTGTTCCAGAAATCAGGCCTAATATGCAGGGAGATGAGAAAGGTCGAGATCGGATCTGGAGACTTCTCAGTAAGCCTTTGGATCAGAGGAAATTGGGAAACAGTGGCGACATAATAGAGCGGAGGAATCCATTAGCTTTGGCTCATTTTGCCAACCATCCTGCAAAGGATATGTCTCCAAATGTTATGGTTTGCCCTTATGACTTCCCGTTGACCGAAAAAGAAATGAGGGTCTATATTCCAAATGTAATATTTGGAGATGCAGAGGAAGTGAAGATGAAGCGATTTGGAAGCTTTTGGTTCAAGCTTGGAGGTTCAAAAAATAGCGGCTCAGATGTTCCTGTTTTGAAGAGTCTTGCCCTGGTGGCTACAAGGGCACTTAGTGATGAAGAAGTGCTTCTGAACTACAGGTTGAGCAACTCTAAGCGTCGGCCAGAGTGGTATACTCCTGTTGATGAGGAGGAAGATCGAAGGAGGTGGAGCTAAGTTTTGTTAAAGTTGCCATCTTGTGTTTTATGTATTACTTTCAACCGGTTCTTTCTGATGATGAGCGCACTTTTGGTTCTTGCTGGGTAGGGACTTTTTCTGTCTTTTGATATTAAAGATCTGAAAAGCTGAAGGTTATCTAGACTTGCATTACCTGATGAATATTACTTCTCTTATTTACTGAAATCATGATGCTCAAAGTTAAGGCTTTGGCTCCGTCATCCAAAGTGTTTATGTTGCGAACGGTCTCTCCCATTTGTTTTCGTTTGATTTAGTTGTGATGATCTTTCTTTGAGTGAAAACCAAGCAAAACGATGTGGAGCTTGAGCTTTTAGAACTTGTACAGTTTGCTTGTTTGGATTCAACAACAGGTCTAAAGAGTGAAGACGACGACGTTAGGATCTATTCCATGTGTAGTGTGTACCCACACACACAAAACATCGTCCAACGATGAGGGTTGACGACGATCTTCAACCCTTTTACAACCATCATTCTTTAGTTGGGCCAAAAATATCCCTTTTGGTCCTCTTGTTTCATATTTTGGAAGTCAGTGTATAACAATGCACACACTTACAACACTTCGATCCATGACTTTCCAACCATTTGAGAACCTGCTCTGTATTAATTTGTATGTATGTGATTAGATCTTGCCAATTCACCACGATGACAAAAATCATTATCTTCCTAAGTGGGGTTAGCCAAACATATTTCTCAATTCACAATTTGAAAAGAAAAGAAAAAAAAACATATTTCCTAATTGTCATCCATCCATTCCGTTCAGAGTCCAAATTTTTTCCCTTATCCTTAGTATAGCTTAGCGGAGTAGAGTTACAATAAAAAAAACTCCATAAATCTCGCTCTACATTTCTCACAATAGTATTTTCCTTTCTAATTGTTGAAAGTTTGGAGTTTAAATATAACACATGCATCTCAGATTAATTATACCACTTGATTGGTCCATAATCATATATCCATGCATTAATCTTAATTGCTAAGCTACAATTAGGATTAATGGGGCTCTTAACCTTTATTTTGTGCCTCTCACCTAACTTCGGTGTTTGTTGGAGTTGGGGTCATGTCTCTGCTTCCTCCTCGTGGGAACTGGTCCCAGAGGAGGCTGACCGAGTTGAAGCGCTGCCGGGCCAGCCTCCAGTGGAGTTCAAGCACTACTTAGGAGTCAGGATACGTGACAGTTGACGAGAGTCATGGCAGAGCTCTTTTCTATTGGTT